TTCTTTTTTTTTTTTTTTTAAAACCCCTCCCAAATTAGGAGGATCTATAGTGTTTCCACACTTTCCCTCCAGCGTGACTCGAACCCGGGACCTAACGGTCGTAGGTGGAGGTGATTTTACCAACTGAGCAAGCCTTACTTGTCAATTTTTTTGATTCTCCATGTGATAGTCATTGGGATGCAGTTGTTCGCATTCTTCGGTATATAAAGTCAGCTCCAGGCAAAGGATTACTATTCGAGGATCGAGGCCACGAGCAGATTGTTGGGTACACAGATGCTGATTGGGCAGGATCGCCTTTTTATAGACGTTCTACGTCTGGATATTATGTTCTAGTAGGAGGTAATTTGGTCTCGTGGAAGAGCAAGAAACAGAATGTAGTTGCTCGATCTAGCGCCGAAGCCGAATATCGGGCCATGGCTATGGCGACGTGTGAGTTAGTTTGGGTCAAGCAGTTGCTCAAGGAGTTAAAGTTCGGAGAAATCAGCAAGATGGAACTAGTGTGTGATAACCAAGCTGCTCTTCATATTGCGTCAAATCCGGTGTTCCATGAGAGGACTAAACACATTGAGATCGACTGTCACTTTGTCAGAGAAAAAATACTTTCAGGAGATATTGTTACAAAGTTTGTAAAGTCGAATGATCAACTAACAGATATTTTCACTAAGCCTCTTACTGGTTTTCGTATTAGTTACATGTGTAACAAGCTCGGTACATATGATGTGTATGCACCGGCTTGAGGGGGAGTGTTAGTTTACAAATATGTATAGTGTAGTCTTGTCCCATATTGGAAGAGCAGTAATATCTCCTTGTAGTGTATAGCTATAAATAGGGACCTCTGGTATTGTATTTATTATCCAATATCAATAACATATTTTCTCTCATGCCTTCTCACAGTTGTCAATCATGTACCACCCCAGTTTAGGGACATTGACATATTTGTCAAAGCCCAAGCCCATGGCATGTATTATCCGCTTCGGTCCAACAGACCTCACGGATTTGCTTCTTGGGTCCTCGAATTGAAGAAAAAATGAGTGATCAAGAGAAGTTGTCCCTCATGATCAATCTGAACTGAAGTGCTACCAACTCTTCTTGATGATTAAGTAAATAACAAGGATGTCTACATCATCTTACGCTCGTCATCATCGAGTCCAAAAGAGCGCAACCATGTGAACTTGTCATATCCTATGCCTTATAAAGCTCTTCACTTTCCTCTTCCATTTTGATATGGGATTCGCCTACGGTGTCATGTGCACCCCTTCTTCGAAAGCTTGCTAACGAAGAAGCCCGACAGTCCTCTTTAATCCACCTTCATCAGCCCACCCTCTGTCATGGGCGTTAGATATAAGGAGCACCACTTGTATATTATTACTTAATCAAGTCAATGAGAAGTGTTTTCTCTTTTCGCATACATGAACAATAAAACAGATGACATGCAGGTCAAGTCATGCAATACCAATATACATTTTTTACTTTGGACGTCTCCAAAACATATCCTAGTCTTCAACTTTTAAGCCAACTCATATGCATCGGGTAGTCATGATTGTGAATAACAAAACAATCCAGAAGGCTAAAGTGGGTGTAGTCTGAACATTCCCTAAGTATGCTCTTCCAGTGATGTGTCTCATAGCTCATGTACGCTTTAGTTTTTTTTCTTTTAATACCTATAATTTTGAAGCAGAAGTTTGAAACAGCAGTATATAACATAGAATTCTGCAGGTACTTATTGAATAATAAGTTCCCCATAGTCAAGTGACCACCACTATAAAATTGTGGGTCCATATTACCTAAAAGCTTAAACTATTGGAAAGGACACACTTCCATTTACTTAATTATATCTTCAACAACCACGATAATGACAAGGAAGTCAAGAACATTTACAGCCTACCTGATAGCTAAAATATCTGATCCTATAGCATTTCAGCTGCAATGCGCCCTCTTAGTTTAAACAATTTTAGAAGAATAAATAGAGAAATAAATAAGTGACCAATTATACTTGATGTCACCTTCCAAAAAATTGAAACAGATAGTTATAAACTCAGAGCATACAGTGCATGTTTCATGTGTAACAACTAACAACAGATAGGGGAAAAAACATAGGAAAAATAGTTGTCAGGACATACTATGCACGTTATTGACTAGGATCGATAACATTCTCTCTACTGAGAAACAGATGCTTCCACTTTTTTGACTTGACGGTGGGCCAAAGCCACTCACAGCTGCAGACATACACTGATGTGACAACTGACGTAGAGCAGAAAGCAGTGACTTGACAGCAGCTACATGCATCAGAGCAGAGCTCTCAAACAGCTTCATAAAGAAGTTAACTTTTGAATTTATATACAAATGATAATAAGTTAAACAGTGAAATGAGAAGAAAAAGGGGAACTCAAGCACCTGAGAATTTAAGGAAGAAAGAATATGAAAATCACTATATTGACCAGAAGAATCTCTTGTAAGCTTTGGCACAGCTGTGGAGACCTCCTGCATCATGGTAATTAAAGTGGATGAATAAGTAGATTTTTCAGCCTACAGTGGTGACACATACAGCCATAATGATAGGGACAGCTAGTAAATTTTGATAGGTAAGAGTTGTAAATTATAGCTCATACTGTATTTTTATTAGCTGCTATGTCATTTCCAGAACCCATTCCCTGCTTACTCGGAATTGTTTGCTTGTAGTAATAGAGAGAAAACCGAGAGCTATTAAAATCTTCCGTTTTTCCCCTTACTCCAAACTATAGCATTCTATTTATCTTTTCCACGTTTTACTCATAATTAGACTGTTTACGTTGAGAAAAGAAAGGGCAGTCCGAGGAAGGGTCGGACCACAAGGGTCTATCATACGCAGTCTTACCGAAGTGCAGGAGGCTATTTTCACGGCTTTCCGTTGAGAAAGCCAATGAAAATTAAAAGAGGCCATAACTCAAAAGGATATGAAGTAAGCATTCAGGAACTGCATTTTTCTACTAGAGTTTCATTGAATAATTCGAAGCTTTCTATACTACAGTGTAAGTAACTCTTTAAGGACACTAGCCTATTAGTGTTGAAGTAGGTCAATTCAATTTTAGAGATTGGTCCAATCAATCTCCAAAAATAATAATTGAAGAGTAATTAGCCCTTTCCTTTGTTGACACCCAATATTACCTGTGTAGTTGCATGTGGAGAATGAATAGCTCGGTCAAGAGAAGCTAGAGTCTCCAGTACCTGCACATATTTAGCAAAAGCAAATATTAGGAGCTTGCAGTTCTAACCTTTCGGTAGATGCAGATGGTGGACTAACTCACCAAGCTCCATGAAGGACCTAAAACATTATGCAGTCGATGAGATATGTTGAAAAGTGTTCTTAGTGCCTGAGATACAGAAGCATCACCATAAGTTTCTGAAAACCCATACATCATGAAATAAAAAGTGAGAAAAATCTATTATTGATATTATATTTTAATTATAATACAATGAGCCCTATTTATACAATACATATCATACTCCTATTCTATGTGGGACTAGGACTAATTCATATTATTTACATAATTATCTAACACCCCCCTCAAGTCGGTGCATACAAATCATATGTACCGAGCTTGTTACATATGTAGCTAATACGTGGACCAGTAAGGGACTTGGTGAAAATATCTACAGGCTGATCATTCGACTTCACAAACTTTGTAGCAATATCTCCTGAGAGTATCTTTTCTCTTACGAAGTGACAGTCAATCTCAATGTCTTTAGTTCTCTCATGGAACACCGGGTTTGATGCAATATGAAGGGCAACTTGATTATCACACACAAGTTCCATCTTGCTGCTCTCACCAAATTTCAACTCATTAAGCAAATGTTTGATCCAAACTAGCTCACATGTTGCCACAACCATTGCTCGATATTCTGCTTCTGCACTAGACCGAGCCACCACATTCTGTTTCTTGCTCTTCCAAGACACCAAATTACCTCCTACTAAAATACAATATCCAAACGTAGAACGTCTATCAGAATAAGGCATACTTCCGTTGATGATACATATCTGCCCAGAACTTTAACACTATCAGACCTGATCATTGCCGGTAATAACAATATCATCAACATAAACCACCAGATAAATACTGAGATTTGAAGTAGAATGCCGATAAAACACAGAGTGATCAGTTTCACTACGAGTCATGTCAAACTCCTGAATAACTGTGTTGAACTTACCAAAGCAGGCTCGAGGAGACTGCTTTAGACCATAGAGGGCCCTACGCAACCGACATACAAGGCCACTAGACTCCCCTGAGCAACAAAACCAAGTGGTTGCTCCATATAAACCTCATCTTCAAGGTTACCGTGAAGAAAAGCATTCTTAATGTCCAACTGATAGAGAGGCCAATGGCGAACAACAGCCATGGATAGAAAAAGGCAGACTGATGCTATTTTAGCCGCGGGAGAGAAAGTATCACTGTAATCGAACCCAAATATTTGAGTATACCCTTTGGCAAAGAGACGAACCTTAAGTCGATCAACCTAGCCATCTAGACCAACTTTGACTGCATACACCCAACGACAACCAACAGTCGATTTACCCGAAGGAAGAGGAACAAGCTCCCAAGTACCACTCGTATGTAAAGCAGACATCTCGTCAATCATACACAATGGGGTGATGACAGACGACGGCAACTTAAACCGACATAATGGGGATTAGGATTAAGTGTGGACCGTATACTTTTTCGTAGTGCAATCGGCTGACCAAGAGGAGACAAGTCCGCAGTACTAGTCGGGTCAGGTGCAGTACGTGAATAAGTTGGCCTGATGCTGGGCACGGACGACGATGATAAGTCAGGAATGGTGGAGCTGCAGAAGGTTGAACTGGACTAAGTGGTGGCACTAGAGCTAGAGGTGGTGGAGCTGCAACTGGAGCTGTAGGTGGTGAAGCTGGAGTTATAGAGGAAGAAGAATGGGAAATAGTAACTGAATCTCCAAAAGATGGAACTGGTTGCACCTCAAAAATATCTAAGTGATTACCTGGACCTGTGAAGTATGATTGGGTTTCAAAGAAGGTAACATCAGCAGACATAAGGTACCGCAGGAGGTCAGGTGAATAGCATCGATATCCCTTTTGCGTTCTCGAGTAACCCAGAAATACGCATTTAAGAGCACGAAGAGCTAACTTATCTTTTCCTAGAGTAAGGTTATGAACAAAACACGCGCTCCCAAAGACACGGGGTGGAAGAGAGAACAAAGGTAAGTAGGGAAACAGGACAGAGAATGGAACTTGATTCTGGATAGCTGAAGATGGCATACGATTAATAAGATAGCAAGATGTAAGAACTGTATCCCCCCCAAAAATGCAACGGAACATGAGATTGTATGAGTAGGGTACGAGCAGTTTCAATAACATATCTATTCTTTCTTTTAGCTACCCCATTTTGTTGGGATGTGTATGGACAAGATGTTTGATGAATAATCCCATGAAAGCTCATAAACTGATGAAATGGGGAAGACAAATACTCTAGGGCATTATCACTACGAAATGTACGGATAGAAACCCCAAATTGATTTTGAATTTCAGCATGGAAGGTCCGGTATATACAAAACAATTTAGATCGATTTTAAATCAAAAATATCCAAGTACACCTAGAATAATCATCAATGAAACTGACAAAGTAGCGGAATCCCAAGGTAGAACTGACCCGACTAGGACCCTAAGCATCTGAATGGACTAAAGTAAAAGGTGACATTGCTCGATTATCAAGACGCCGAGGAAAATGGGAGCGGGTATGCTTACCGAGCTGACATGACTCACACTCTAGAGTGGACAAGTGAGATAAACCAGGCACCATTTTTTGAAGTTTTGACAAACTGGGATGTCCCAACCGTTTATGTAATAAATCTGGTGAATCAGTAACAGGACAAGTTGTAGAAGGAAGACAAGATGTGAGTCCATGTGATTTNTTGACAAACTGGGATGTCCCAACCGTTTATGTAATAAATCTGGTGAATCAGTAACAGGACAAGTTGTTGAAGGAAGACACGATGTGAGTCCATGTGATTTTGCAAGGATAAGGTAATAAAGACCATCTGATTCACGCTCGGTACCAATGATACGCCCTGTACTGCGTTCCTGCATAAAAACAAGGTCATCAAGAAATAAAACAGAGCATTTAAGTGATTTGGCTAAGCGACTAACGGCTATGAGATTAAAAGGACTACCCGGAACATAAAGAACTAAATCTAAAGGAAAGGAAGGAAGTGGACTAGCTTGACCTATTCAAGTTGCCATGGTTTGAGACCCATTGGCCATTGTGATTGTTGGAAGAGACTGAGATTGAGAATATGAAATAGTAGTGAAAACAGATTTGTTACCAGAAATGTGATCAGATGCACCTGAATCAATGACCCAAGACTCGGAGGATGAAGATTGGGAGACACAAGTCACGCTATTACCTGTTTGAATAACAGAAGATGTCTGCTTATGTGCTTTGTACTGAAGGAACTCAGCATAATCCGGTAAAGAAACCATCTAACCATTCAAAATATCGGTTCCCATTTTGTTACGACCAAACTTCTAACAACCTCCAAGTATAGACAAGTATGATGTCCAAAGAGAATGCGTCCAGAAAGTACTTGCATAAAATGTGAAAGACGATTAAACTTGCTGGAATATTTTACCGGAAAATTTTGATTTTTCGGAGATTTTCAGATCTGACCCAGCCCTAGCTGACTCCCAAAATATAAGAGAAACTACAGTTCACTGTTCAGTTATTGTTCACTGATCACCGAAAACACTGTAGCTCGCCCGGAAATAAAAAAGTCATCAGAATTTGGTGTAACCAGAATGGATAGACTCGAAATTCCCTTGCGAGCCAGCTGTCCTAAAGAAATTTTTTCAAAAAGTGGCCGGAAAGGGCTCCACGAGACGGAAATTTTTTTTTTCTTTGTTTGGCGCGTGAGGGCGCGTGGGAAGGTATTTTATGGGGTTGACTGGGGTTTGGTCGCCTGAGCCTAAGGAGTTGTGATGGTGTTGGTTTTTTCACAACACCAACGGAAAGTGATTTTGTTGCATACAACCTCTTAAGTCGCCGGAAAATTGCACGGCGACGAGGTCTTTCTTCCCGGAAGTCGCTGGAATGATGCACAGCGATAAGTTTCTCACTAATGCTCTGATACCATGTGAGAAAGCACGGGAGAAAAATCTATTATTGATATTCTATTTTAATTATAATACAATGAGCCCTGTTTATACAATACATATCATATTCCTATTCTATGTGGGACTAGGACTAATTCATATTATTTACATAACGATCTAACAATGCAGTCGATGAGAAATGTTGAAAAGTGTTCTTAGTGCCTGAGATACAGAAGCATCAATAATAACACCATAAGTTTCTGAAAACCCATACATCAACAACAACAACAACAACAACAACCCAGTGAAATCCCACTAATGGGGTGTGGGGAGGGTAGTGTGTACGCAGACCTTACCCCTACCCCGAAGAAGTAGAGAGGTTATTTCCGAAAGACCCTCGGCTCAAGAAAACAAAAAGACAAAAGGGCAAAGAAATTGGCAAAGAAAACCCATACATCAAGAAATAAAATTGGCTCTCCAAAAGTAAAATGTCAAAGAAATTTGCAATAGTTGCGCGCACAACAAACAACAAATACCTGCACATTCTTAGGAGTAAGGACAATAGTTTCCTTTGGCTCAAGCAATGCTTCTGACCGCTTAGACCCAGGAGATTGCACCACACTGTAGATTGTTAATAGCATATTAATTCAACGAATTGCACAGAACTATTTCAAAGAAATACTAGAACATATGATCGAACGTTATCATAACTATATGCAGCTTAAATGTGCAGATTTAGCCAACAAAACATAAATAAATATATACCTACTTCTGCATGAATTTGTGCAATTAGTTGAGCAGCTGAAGTCATTAGGCTACAGACTGCAATTCCTTAAGTGAGGGTTCCTATAATCACTACATCAATTGTTTCTCTGAAAACTTAGGACAGGGAGAGGATAGCTCATCATTATCTTTTAGTAGCTTGGCTATCTACATAATCCACCATTATTTCATTTCTGGGGTGAGGGTGTCAATGGAGGGCACGTGGTAAAGGCTTTCAGCCTTGAACACAAAAGAAAAACTTTATTTTCTGATTTAATTATTAATAAATATATCTACCTAAGATAGGAAGGATAACTAACATCCAGATTAAGGTAGGAGAATATGAAAAGTTTTCTATGACAGTGCTTCAATATGAGCTTTCCCATCCAGCAATAGTTCTTTTATTTTATAATATGAGGATTGATTATGGGGAATACTATAGTTGTAGGAACTTACACACCAATTGTTTCTATATAGTGATTGGGTGGATAGTTGTTCAAAAAATTTTTGTCAAAACGGTGATTGGAAATAAATAATATCTATAATTTTACTTCTCCGTGTACTACGAATAAAAGTGCCAATCGTGATCCTTGGCCTTCAACAGAAAAATAAAAGGAAACTTGGCCTTAGTTTTTGCATTCGAATTTTTCCCTTAACTTTAATTGAACAACTTTCATGATTAGGAATAATCACACGTAAAACCTTCCTTGAAATAAGATAGGAGTAAAAGTTGTCTTCAGAATTATTTAATTACTACAAGTTCTAACATGATAGGACTACTTCCTAAAAGTCAATAACCATAATGTAAAAAGTTGGTTTAAGAACAAAAGATCTTCAGCCTATAACATGGTCCCTATTTTTACCTATGTTACTCGGGACTCTCCAAAAATGTTGCCACAAACGTGTCGGATCCTTCAAAAACGCACTACTTTTGGAGGATCCGACACGCACCCGACGGCGTCTATGAAGAGTCCGAGTAACATAGATTTTTACAGCTATTCAACAACTTAAAGGTCTATGAATACCAGATTATAAGTAACTAAACATAATGAATATTACTCCTAAACAACATCTTTCCTTATTCTATCAAATATACTTGGTGACTATCAAATTTATCTCAAGACCAATGATGGTGAAAAATACTAGAGAGACAAGTAGAAATTTTTATAACCTAATAAGCTACAAAATACAGTTTACAACTTTATGTGAGAGGTAACCGGCAAAAAAAAAAGAAAGGAAGAAAGAAAACAAGACTACCGGTACACAAAATGAAGAATGATCAAGAATTCAATTCGTTTTATCAGTGGTGCTCAACTTCTTCTGAATACAAATGACATTTTTATAAGAAATTTTTTAACAAGTGACAAAAATAAATTAGATTATATATCAAGTTGACATGGTGTTAATAAGCAAAGCTGAGTGAAAGATATAGTTTATTGATTCAAAATTTGAATAAAATAATAGTCATTTTTAGAATAACATTTATCAATCTATTATATTAGTGAAATAATGAAAGCTGAATTAACCATTATGCCTCAAGTTGGTTTCGGTACGATAGCCCCATCCATGTTGCCTCAAGTTGGTTTCGGTAGATTATCTATGTTTTCAATTATCATATGCCTAGATTTGATTGTCACGATAATATGGACAGAAAGGGAGTCATTGATTTTCAACCCCCTTCTAAGGCACGCGACCCTTCCTCTATTATCAAGATTTTTCTCAGTTTCAAGTGTCACACGAGCTTCCTGGATTTTCTAGCCCCCTAGAGCAAAGGTTGTCCCTTTTATTACCATCGTAGTCTCCCTCGAAAGACTCCCTTTGCCTCAACGTGATGATAAACTTCTTTTCACTTTTTGTGGGCGTGAATTATTTTTGCTAGTGAACTGGTTTAACTTGTTTTGTCAGACCGATACACTAATCCAAGGGCATACAGGTCTTTTTTTTTTCTTTTATAGATTCCTTCCTCGCCAATACTTCGAACTCCCGGACATCTGCTCTTCCTCCACTTGCCATTACCGGCTCATCCACCATACCTAAGAGTTTTCCAGCCTCCTTCATCACTCGCCTCACCCCTTCTACCTCTCCATTTCTTCTCCTCCCATATCCCTCTCTCTTCTCCCCTTGTCCCTACCTCCATTACTCCCCTACCCAGTAATACTTTGGTGCAGAACTCTCGGTACAAATGTAACCTATACCCATGCTCACAATCGTCAACAACTATTTCCACTGGGATTCTCCCTCCCACTCCTTACATAGATTCTAACCATAGACATGTGGGCCATACTACATAATACATTCACGTACCTCCGAGATATGTCCCCAATCATCTCAAGCAGATCTAGGCACCGTAGATGCACGGAAACTCAAACTATGTTAACAACCACAATCTCCTTTTGTTGCTTGTCTACTATACACCCCGTCAACTTCTCCATCTTTTTAGTTTCACGAAGTTGCTTCGCGTCCACCTTTCGCTTCCATACAATATTAGGTTCGGTAAATATGAGATAATTTATTTAACAACCAATTGTCCTTGTCTTCTAAGATCACTATGAGGCTCCCAAAAACCTAGTAAAATCTTGACTTTCAGATCAATGAAAATATCAACAAGCCTGTAATTTGGCATCCCTATTTCCTCAAGAATGTCAAGAGCATACTTCTGGAAACCTTAATGCCTAGAAAATATCGTAATATACCTAGGTCTTTGGTTTGAATATGAACTATGTCATCAACATATACCACAAAACAAATGCACCGATTTGGAGTAGAATGTTGATAGAGAACATAATGATTAATTTCACGAAGAGTCATGCCAAACTCCTGAACAATTGTACTAAACTAACCAAACCATGCTCTAAGTGACAACTTCAAGATATATAAGAATGGCGTAACCAACACACAAGATTTCTATACTCCCTCTGAACAACAAAATTTGGTGGTTCTTCCATATATACTTTATCCTCAAGATCAATATGAATTATTCTCGTGTCTAAATGATAAAGAGGTCAATGGCGATTAGTAGACATTGATATAAAAAAGACGAATTGAGCAATTTTAGCCAAGGGAGCGAATGTATCACCATTATCAAGTCCAAGTATTTGAGTATATCCTTTCGCAACTAAATGAGCAATTTTAGCTACGGGAGTGAACATATCACCATAATCAAGTCCAAATATCTTCCATCACCATAATCAAGTCCACATATCTTAGTATATCCTTTGCAACTAAATAAACCTAGGAAAAAATAACTTTAATATTGAATGTATTGCTAGAATATCAATAGAATATGTGTCTAGATTCATATATGTCTAGTTCAGTGTACTTTAAGAAGGAAAATCTTATAAAATATTCTATAGGATATCTTAGGATATTATATATTTAATTATAAAAAAAATTCTCATCTTCTTTATAACTTTATTAGCATAGAGATTCATCACCTACCATATGTACGTAACATGACACTCCTATTATAGGAGAACCTCTTGCACATTGTTACTTAATTAAACTAATGACAAGTTTATTTCTATTGTCACGTGATGTAAGAGCCTCTACGATCTTCATAGAGACTCAAATAACTTCTACTGCCGACCGGTTTGTCAAACCAGCCCAACCAAATTTTTCTTCTTTTCTTCTTTCTATCGGTGTCTGGCATTGTTCCTCAACAATGACCGTCAGTGCTACTTTCTGGATGACCATTCAAACGTGATACCTCTCTCCAAAGAGATAAGTTGGATCAGGCACAAAGCGAGGAGCAACACCAATCATTGGAGAGAGGAGGGTTGTGGTTGCCAAAAATAGAAAATGAGGAAGAACATTAGCCAAGTAGGCGAAGTACATGCTCATATATGGAAGCTACTTGAGATATTACCAAAATCTAAAAGTTTGATACCGTGTTAAAGGGGAGAAGAACCTCTTATTGACTCAATCTTAATTACCAACGTAAATGAGAAGCTCCTTATTAAGATTCATAGCTATGTACATAACGTTAGGTAACCATTCTTAATGTCTAGTTAGATAAGTAATATCAACATTAATGAAAAATGCGCTTAAGCCCTAGAGCGAGGCGTAAAATATGTTGAGTGATTCGCTCGGCTTAGCGGGCGCTTCAGTGTCGTCATCAAGGCTCAAAGGCATACTTTTCCTTGCTAATGAGTGTAATCCTAAAGAGGCGACGTGAAACAATTGATTTTTTACTTTATCGTATTTTTCTTCAATTTCTTAGTCCATATATTTGTTATTCATATTTATAATTATTAGTCTTGGGACGTATTGGTATTTTTTTCCTCCATTTGTGGCTTTCTTCATTAAATTCATGTTTCATTTAAAGTGAATAGTTTACAAATAAATAAAAAATATCCCAACATTTCCTATGGAATATTCTTGTAATATTTTTTTAATTCAAGATTAATGAATTTGGACATATTTGAATCTAGGCACATATTCTTTTAATAATCAACAACGATTCTTTCCTATTTTAGGACGTGTATACACTATTAAGAACACCAATAGCTTAAGGGAATAATCAATGTTCTACAATTTTCTTATATTTTTAATATGATAAAACCCACCCCAAGACCCCCTACCCAGGAGGCAAACATTAGCACTGTACTCCCTTGGTAATTCAAACCCCCATGGTTGAAGGAGGAAGGCCATTTCACAAGGCTAACCCACCCTTGTAGATAACCAAGCAGTACATTCTTCCCTAATTCTGTTCTTCCTTTCACTTCCTCTAAAAGACATTATTTTTTCAGGATATTGTGCAAGACATTTTGAAGCTAAAGATAACCACTTGCCAAGTCACCTTTGAGACCCTTGGTCTTGGCTTGACAATTACTGTAGTAAACAAGCCACTGATTAGGATGCACATACAACTGTTTTGAAGAACTAAGCATATAGAAAGTGCAAGTGTCGGCAGGCACCTTGAGAACTTACAGAAGATTAGAAAGCATGATTAATGAATGAGAAAATAACCTCTACAAGATTCAATGTCCAATCAATTATGAAGGAAAAAGGTTCAGTAAATTTATTTCATAATAAGTAAAGAAAGTTGTGGCTAAAACAGGAAAAGTTCCCATTGGAATTTACCTCCTCTTCTCAACTTCAACAGGTATGCCAATTGTGAATTTGCAAAGGGATGCAAGAAAAGAATTTAAAGGCTCTACAGCATGAAGAATTCCACAGGCCTGAGCAACAAGAAGTTCTGGTCATCATCACAAATTGGAGAAAACTAAGCAGTTGGTCAAGAACATAACACCAATCCCTCTTGCTCTCAAAGTTGTACAAAAGTCAACTAGAGGCAAATTTTGCAGGGACTCATACAATAGGAAGACATTTAAATTTGACCAAATATTACCTGAGTAAATGCTTGATAGCCTTTCAGTATTTCCAAAATAATAGCCTCTCCTTGAGACCTACAATGTACATCACAGGTGAAAATAAGTACATATAGCATTTTCTTAAAGGTTCATTCAAAGACATGAAAATTTTACATACTTCGCCAAGATGAATGACAAAGCATCAAGAATGGTCAACCAAAGAGAATCAACCATTGATACACAAAGAAGTGCAGTTCTCCCAGTGAGTTTTGCTGGTGGATCAGATTCACATCTTGGAGAGTCAAGCTGGTCACACCAAGACAACAAGTATGTCATGTGACTAGTTGCCTTTCAGAATAATTATGTCACTCCAAGACAAAATATGAAATAGTAACTTGACTAATTACCTCACCCGTGTCAACTGCCTCATCTGTTAAAGTAGCCACAGTGAAAACGACTCCTAGCAGACCCTCAATTGCTAAAGTTATTGCATGTGCTTCACTTGCAACTAAAACAGCAGCATTGGATGCGTCGCTATCTAAGCTCCACTCAATCCCTACCAGCCATATTGCTTAGTGATTAGTGTTAGTAGTTAAAATAAAAAAAANCTACCAGCCATATTGCTTAGTGATTAGTGTTATTAGTTAAAATAAAAAAAATGCTAGTGAGACAAAGATAAGGGTGAGCAAGGTATAACAGAGGGAATTGACTCCCTGCCCCACATCCAATTGGAGCTCAAAGTCTAACCACCTATCAAAAGGAGGACGAAAACTGACAAAAGAAAACCTAAAACATCCATTTATTGCTCTGAAATAGGAACTGAAATGGCATTTAATCTTCCTCAGAATTTTTGCATCACTAAGGCCTCATTTGTTTGCACTTAATGGAGGACTGAATCTTAATCATTCAGATCTCAGACATTAAGTGCGTTTGTTTTTAAAGTCTAAATTTTAATTATTCAGATCTTAATCATTAAGTGTATTTATTTTTTTTACTGCACAACCACTTAATGGGTCTGAATAGGCCTGTATGATTAAGATCTATAACAGAGACTTAATTTCATTAAGATGCTATCATCCATGCATATCCATTATTATTTGCCGCCAACGCCTACTATTATCAACTACCACCATGCCGCCACCACTACCACCACCATCCTCAATCATAGCCGCCACCATTATCGACTACCACCACGCACCATCCCCACCACTCTCACCACCATCATTCTCAACCACAACCAACACGCATCCACCTCAACTACCACAACTAACCACCCCATCACCATCAATAACCATAGCCGGCACTGCCCATCATTATAAACTACCACCACCCACCACCACCTTCCTCAATCACAACTACCACCACCGCCGCCATTATTAACTATCACCACCCATCACCACCACCCTCAATCATAATCGCCACCACTACTAATCACCACTAGCTACTACCTTGAACCACCACCATCAATCAAAACTACCGCCAACCACTGCCTCTAGTTGGCATTCACAAGCACCACCATTAGCCATCACCACCAGCAACTACCATATTTTTAAAAACATATATATATATATATATATATTATTGATAGAATATTAGATTAATTAGTATTTCATTTGAATTTTATGTTTACTATTTTCAAATAAAGATTTTATCCATTCAGATGTTAAAAATCAAACAATCTTAATCATTTAGTATTCAGATCTTAAATCTTAATATTCAGATGTCTATTCAGATTTAGACGTCGTAATCTTAAAAAAAAAAAATGAGGCCTAAGAGCCTGTTTGGCAACGTTGTCAAAAACTGTTTATTTTGAGAAATGCTTTTATTTAAAAGTGCTTTTCGAAAAAGTACTTTTGGAGAGTAGTAGTTTGTGTTTGGCCAATTCATTTGAAAAGTGATATTTGCAATATTTGATAAGCAAATTGTGTTTGGTCACTCCCAACCAAGAGTGGTTGCTCTAGTGGTAAGCACCCTCCACTCCCAACCAAGAGGTTGTGAGTTCGAGTCACCCCAAGAGCAAGGTGGGGAGTTCTTGGAGGGAAGGAGCCGAGGGTCTATTGGAAACAACCTCTCTACCCAAGGTAGGGGTAAGGTCTGCATACACACTACCCTCTCCAGACCCAACTAGTGGAATTATACTGGGTTGTTGTTGTTGTTGTAAATTGTGTTTGGCTAATCTTTTTAAAAAATGCCTTTGAGTGTCAAATTACGAAAAATGCAGTAAATGTTCAATTAACAATTAGTATTATTTAAAAGAGAGAAATGAATTTAAATATTTATTATAAATAATGTAATTAATTTTTTTATATAATTAAAATATAAAAGATTTTAATCAATATAAAATATAGTTATCCAAAGCAATAGTACTAAGTAAATGGTATTATTTATTGTTTACATGATACAACAACATCAACAAAAAACCTAATGAAATCCCATAAGTGGGGCTATTGTTTGCATGATGATTCAAATATATCAAAATACATCATTCAATATAAATAAAAAATCTAATCTGTAAATCCTATATAAAAGAAGAGATTTATTTACTATAATAGAGAGACTATTTTAAAGAGGAATATGAGAAGGAGAATAAAAATATGACGGAAACTAAAAAAAAAAAAAAAAAAAAAAAA